TTGCCCTTGGTGAAGCCATGCTGGCTGTCTCAAATCACCTCCCTGTCCTCCATGTGCCTTAGCATAGCTTCCAGGAGGATCTGTTCCATGATCTTCCCAGGCACAGACGGGAGACTGACTGGCCTGTAGTTCCCCGGGTCTTCCTTTTTTCCCTTTTTAAAAATGGGGGTGATGTTTCCCCTTTTCCAGTCAGTGGGAACTTCACCGGACTGCCACGACTTCTCAAATATGATGGATAGCGGCTTAGCAACTTCATCCGCCAGTTCCTTCAGGACCCGCAGATGGATCTCATCGGGTCCCATGGACTTGTGCACCTTCAGGTGCCTTAGATGGTCTCGAACCTGATGTTCTCCCACAGTGGGCAGCTCTTCATTCTCCCAGTCTCCACCTTTGCCTTCTGCGGCTTGGGCAGTGAGGCTCGAGCACTTGCTGGTGAAGACCGAAGCAAAAAAGTCATTGAGTACCTCTGCCTTCTCCGTATCCCGTGTAACCAGGTCTCCTGTTTCATTCCGTAAATGGTCTTTGACAAGCGGACTTTCTCAAGAGAGCAATTTTAACAACTTGTGAAGGCAATAGGAAGTCAAATAGTGAGGCCATTGGCCTGTTTTGATTTATTCTCTTAAAATGACAAGAAGATACTTGGATGAGACTTGTTCAATGTAAGTCTAAAATAACTGCTTTCCTGCTAGATCACAGAACAATTCAGTTGGGAGGGATTTGGAGATCATTTAGTGCACAAGTACCTGCTTACTGATGGATCAGTCATCTGAGCAGAGCCCCCTAGAAAACCTGCCAGTGGGTATGAGCTCTGCAGGCAGAGGGCACATGGTAGCCTGGAGGAGATCTGCTCCTGCTGGTTATCTGCCTTGCTAGGGTAGAAGGGCTGAGCACCACTGCTGGGCTAAAAGGAGGAAGGACAAAAGTCCTGAATGGGGAATCTGCGTGAAGGAAAAATACAGGGAAGTGCGGGCTAAGTTGGTAGGTCAGTGAATAATGTCACCCCAAATGTCAGCCATTCTTGATCCACCCAAAAGTGCTGGCATGGTGGGGCTTTCCTCCTCTGAGCGGTGCTCTCCAAAAAGAAATTCCTCTTACTCTGCCTAAAAGTCCCTATACCAGCTTGCACTGCTGGGCTCTGCAGGGGCATGTTTCTTACTGGTGTCAGACTGGGACTGTAAGTTTTGTCTCAAGCACTGCACTGGTTTCAAGCAAAGACTTGAAACCTTCAAGCTAGAAGGCTTTTGGGGAGACAGGAAAGCACCAACATTTGCAGACTAGGGCAGAGTAGGAGTTCGCTAGCATTAAACCTACACGCTCCTCACCAAAGGCAAGCATCGCATGCGGGATGGGTGTATTTGTGAGAGAGGGAGCAAAGAAAGGAAACCTGTCACCACTGCAAAAGGGTGGGGTTTTTTCTTTTTGTATTTGGCACAGAAAAATGTATATTTTTCAGGCAGAAAGCGACTTCTCATTTTCTCTCCTCTCACGGGGGACATGAATGAATCTCTAGGACTGCTACTCCTTTAACAATTCAGATTGTTGATACAGGCCTCAGGGAGTCAGATGTATATTACTTTAAAGCCAACTGTCTATATTTTTATATTGTGAGACAATGACCTTCACTATGTGGGAGAATGAACTACTAGAGAATACAAACACAAGCAAAGGGAAACAGGAAATTGCAAGTGGTGGGAAATTTTTAAAAATGTACCCAAAAGGATTCCATACATGGGACCGTATAAATAAAGTTTTAATATCTGACTCCAGTTACTCCTATACAGTTCTTAATGGGATATGGCTTCCTTGGGGAAAAAGGAACTGCAGGTTTAAGGTGATTGCTTCATTGGTAAATTGCTTTGTATCTGATGCTTCTGGCAGTTTGGAGTCCGTAATAAAATATAATTTTAATAATCAGAGAACTACCTTCCTTGCAAAAAGAGGCCAGTTTAGAACTTAAACATCCCACAGAAACAATTAGCCAGCTAATTGCCTGACCTTATTCTCTCTAAGAAAAAGGATTTAATTGGTTCAAAACCACTTAAATATGTTTTGAATCTCATTCTTCTAATTTCAGTATTATTTAATTTGCCTTTATATCATGTACTTGCAGAGGAAAATTGTAAAGCAAGGTACAAATGGCTGTGAAACCAGAAAGTTTGGGGACTTGCAAGAGCTCGTTGCAAGGGAGGCATGCAACTCTGATGGGAGCTCCTTGCATTCAAAGGTTTCGGTTATAAGTTGCCCGGAGCCAGCAGTATGAAGGAATATCAGGCTTTAACTTTTGAGAGTGAGAGATGGAAAACCCATGTTTGGGACCAACTGTGATCCACTGAAGTTGTCCAAGAGGAGCACTGGAGTTAAGGAGATTAAGATCATAACCACAATTTGCCCAGTGGCTTTAATACTACTGAGGCTATTCGGTTTTTGGGACAGAGTAAGGAAATCAACTCGGTGGCTTTTTCCCCTTTCCTTCTCCCCCTCCAAACTTTGCCCCTAGCCCTTTGCTGCTTTGTAGTCACCTTCCCCCAGTGACTCCCTCCTCATGGCTCAGAGAGGATTAAGACACGTGCTGCTTCAGCTACAGTAATTCTTCAGCATGGGAAGTGTTCAACCCCAGTTAGGAGACCTGTCCTTCCAGTGGAGAGACCCCATGCAACAGCTGTCAGTAACTGTTCTCACATCACCTATAAGCCTCTCTTTGTGTGGGTAGTGCACAGAAATGTATGCATGCAGTATATATCAAACATTACCTGGCCAAAGTGCTATTTTCAACATGGACTGGAAGCTGCAAGGAAGATGCTAGATGGAGACCTTGGTTCAAGCCAATCACTTTTTTCAGGCAATTTTTCTTTTTACCTTGAAAGCCATTGGCAGTTCAATAATGTAGAGGTCAACGTAGTCCAGCTGCAGGATCTTCAGGGTTTTCTCCAGTGTGGGACGCACCAGCTCTGGGGGGTGGCAGGTATTCCACAGCTGGGGAGGCAAGCACAGGCTCTTTTTGGGTGCCAGGAGGAACAGTGAACATCCTCCAGCTGACCCCCCACCCACACAGACACATTCGTCCTTCTGACAGAGCCTGTTACGCACAGTGCAAAGACATTGTGGTCTACATCACTGCAAGACAAAGGTGAGGGGCCTTATCCTGTCCTCTGCCAGAGGCAGATGTAGAGGTCAAGACAGGAATCCTTGGCTAGGACTGTTCCAGTGCCGACCCAGTAAAGCCATTACATATTTGTTTATTACAGCACAGGTTCTTCTGAGTCGCGTATATTGCAAACTCTTGCTCAATGAACTTAGGCAGACTCCTTTTGTTTTCTGAGCTTTCCAAGCATATGCTTTCACTGGAAAACTTTGTTCCCACAAGAAATCTGTGGTCAGTTTTATGCTTGAAGGCAGAAGCTTGGATCATGTGAGTTAGCTATTGAACAGCCAAGCACCCAGCACAAAGAGAATCTTTTGGTTTTCTCCTGTGGTCATGGAGCTTTAGTGACTGCCTGATCTAGGGAAGTTTTAATTTACTCCCCAGTCCTCACTGAAAGATGTATTATTGTTTAGTTACTGTAATGCAGGTGTGACTAGTTAAAGCACAGCCTTTTCAACCTCTTTAATCACAACCGCTTCCTTGCAGGGTTATGCCCTGAGGTTGCTATGGAGTGTGCTTAGTTGATTAGCTTTCAGTACTATCTCTAACTGAACTCTCCTGATGCAAATCTCTTGCAAGAATAAAACCATAGCATGGTAATTAGTAACCAAGAGCTCTTTGTAAACTGATTGCTGCTGTTAAAATCGACAAAACCCAAAATTAACACACAATAGAAGGTTTGAAGTACCATTTGCTTGCACACAATAAGTTGGGCTACTTTCTCTTCTTTTTTCAATGCACAAAACTGACATGTGGAGTCATGTTGAGGTTTTTGACACCTTTATTGGCTGCAAAAACCTGCTGTTTGTTGGTATGGTCATTGTCTAGCCAGTTCTGCCACCAAAGCTGGCAGTCATAGCATGCCAAGGTATAGAATTAATCCGTTCTTGAGATGTCAAACACTTGAATTGTGATTTTCAGGAGAAGATAGTGATTATAGGTGTCAAAGGACATAGCCTGGGTAAGTTTTAAAGTATTTTAGATGTATGGGGTTTTTAAACCAGATTATTATTTTCCGAGAGAATAACTAGCTGCTCAGTTCTGCCAGCAGAGGCAAGGACAAGTTATCTTGAAGTTCTGTTGTAGTGAGAGCAACACACCTGACCCTGCCCTGCTGTATGTTGCAAGGCCTGAAGAGTTTATGATCACTAAGACGGTGGTTACACAGGCTGAGGTGTAGTACAGTAAAGGGACCAAGGTCCTGCTCTCAGACTTTTAAGCTGTTCTGCTGGATTTCCTGAAAGCCTTTGGTCTGAATGTTTTTTAAGCATTTGCAAATCTTAGATTTTCATTTTACATGTAAAATGAGATGTTGTTTTGGACTTAAATATAGGTAAGGAAATGATTCTGTATAACCTTCATGTTGAGCTTGTTTCGTTACTGTGTTTAAGAAATTTAGTAACCTGAGGTATGTCGATAGTTTAGAAGCAGTTTTTCCAAGTGCCCTTTCTAGCCCAGTGCTATTGAGCTCAGTACTTGCCAGTGAATACACTTCCCTTTAAAAAACTGCAGAAGTTCTAAAGAAACAGCCTTTAGAAATAGCAAACATTTGTACTATGCTAATACGTAGATGCCATGGAAACTTAAGAGTTTCATAACTGTTTTCATGATTTGTACAAGTTATTGTATTATCTACCTAAGCAGAACCCATGTAGACATTTGAGCAGTCAAAGCTGCCAGCTGGCTTTGGCATTTCAGGACACCACATTTCCTGGAAATGTTACTTCTAGTTTAATGAAAGAAATATCCTGGGATGAAAGAAGAGACCAAAAAGGTCTTGCTGTATAAGCCAAGTGAGATGTTGGCAGTTGATATAAAACCTCTAAAATTTCTGGATGCTGAGCTGCTCTGCCTGATCAGCCAGCCAGCAGCAAGAGCCAAGTGCAAGTGCTGATGATTTCAACTGGCAGATGCAGCCCAATTACACCAGGTCACTATTCCAGTAACACTGCCACTCAGCGGGGCTGTTCTTGTTAGTCCCTCCTGATGGACCAGCCTTCAATTTGCATCATCTTTGTTTAAGGAAAGATCTGCATGAGGGGCTTGAGTCTGAAGGGTCTTGGGAATTTCCAGTATTTCTGATGTCAGTAAGGCTGAAAACAAAACCAACTTTTCTTGTGCAGGCTACTTTCAAGAATGGTCTACTGTATCTACCATGTTTCTCAGAAGATGCAACAGTTCGTATCAGTCAGTTACCAATATATCAGTCAGTTACCAATCAATGGCTGATGTATCTACCGGTGGCTTGATATTTGTCTGTAGTTCATAAGATACGTAAGTTCGTAAGGTACATAAAGCTGAAGATACATAAACTCATAAGACAAGGGACACCCAGTCCCACTCCTCCTGGGAAGTTCAGAGCTGCTGTGAAAATCCTGGATTGTGGTGGATTGACTTGGTTGCAGATTATTTTCCACTTCTGCCTTTGAACTCTTTAAAGACTACAGAGATGCTCTAATGAACCATCACCCTGAGCACCTGAAGTTTTGTCAAGCACAAACAGGACACAATAGAAAGATAAATCCATATGTGTCCCATCTCACGGTCACAAGACAGGCTGGAACCACAGGCATTGACTATCATGGTACTACGAGTTGCAGCCCTGTGGCTTGCAGGATCTGCAGTTCAGGGAACAACTGAACTTACAATCAAGAAATCAAACGCAGTTTCACAGGTGGCTCAATGTTTGGGTAGTGATCATCAACTAGGAAAATCATCTAGTGATTAGATCAGACAACTGAATATAGAAAGGCTTAATAAATAAGTTTGGAATCCTGATAAAATTTTTCCAAGAGGTGCACTTTCACAGAACCTAAAGGTTTATATGGGAAAATAAACTGCAGGGGAAGCAGTTGGGAAAGTTAAAGACTCAAAATTGTTAGGACATCTGGTTCTAACCTTTTGGCACAACTTTGTGGTTTTGATTTGAAATATTGCTGGTAATTTGCAGTAATGAAACTATAAAACAGTTGAAACAAAATATTTTGACTGATCCAAATCAACATATTTGGCATATGGGAGACTGAGAGACTACCCTGATAAAGGTGGAAAATTTGAGGACGTGAAGCTTTTCTCAGGATGGCAAGGTTGTTACCAGTAGAACTGAGCAAGGAACTTGGAAAAGAGTTGCATACTTTACAGATTGGAAATTGCTGTACTGGGAAATTGGTCTATAGCTGCTGAAAATCCACTTGGTCTGCAAACTACCCAATCTGAAGCTTAGTTTCCCAGATCATAGAGCTTAACTAAATTGCTCACAGTAAAACGGGCCTTTTATCCCATGGGATCTTTCACTCTAGGAACCGTGGTATTTATTTCCAAGTCTGTTGAGTAACTTTTGTGGATTACGTCTTATTTGGGAAAGGAGAAAGGGAAAATATTAGGCTGATATGTCCAAAGAAGTACTGCAGGAAGGGGAACTTGAGGCCATAAACTCCATTAGAAACTGGACAGGCACCATGAATTTTCTGGGGCCGTCTGATCTTTATTCTGCAATGTGCAATGAGCTCTCTCTCTTATACCTGTGATCTAGTCATCGTAGTTGTACCAGCTTTTGTCAGACACTTGATCGGACGAGGGATTTCATTCTTCTGGGAGAGAATCAACTCTTACGACTAAGACTTTAAAGTATTAACTAGCTTATGCATTTCTCTGGCCTCATTGCTCTAGAGCAGAAGTGTGATGACATCTTCTCTCCAAGTAAGTTGATTTATCATCCTAGAACTTTTTAATGACAGGTGATACAGTAACTAAGGGTGTAGTTTGATGAGTAATTTTCTGGCAGTAGTACCAATGTAAGCATTTGCTGTTCTCCCATACACGGACACTTGCATGCACGTGCTTGCTCCCACCCCTTTCATTGTGCAACCTCAAGGCAAACCTGTACAGGGAATTGCTCTAACAAAAAATAACTCATTTGCAGGATCATTGGCCAGATCAGGCTCAGTGTGTGACTACACAAATGTGCGTGCCAGCACAACATGTGGGACAGTAACAGCTTAGGCAGCACCGCTGAGTGTAGCAATGGTCTAAACTTGCGGGTACTTAACAATACCAGGCAGAAAGGATGTTGCATGGTTCCCACTGCTAACTGAGCTTTAAACTGAGAACAGCAGCGATTCCTGTGCTTTACAGCAAATCTAGTGCTCATAAAGCTCTGAGGCATTATGGTAATGCTAGGGAACAAAAATAAAGGATGTTGGGTCTGGAAGCATGCCAGATGTTGACCACCAGCATTCTTAAGAAAGCCCATTCACAGAAATCCTGGATTTAGTGTAAATAATCTGAGTGCAGCTTCTCACCTTGCCACAGTAAAAAATGTCTTCTCGCTTGATCCTTCCTTCAGCAATCTTCTCCCGGATGGCTTGTCCCACTTCATGCTCATTGTAGTAGACGAAGGCACCGTCGATATGGCGGTAACCAGCATCGATGGCAATTTTCACCGACTCCAAACAGGAACCTTTGGGAGTCTAATGGGAGAAGAAAAAGAATAAACAGAGTTCCAGCCTTCTGCTCACCCCTTTTGCAATGGTATAGAGCCCCTGAGATATGCACAAGGTTCATGCTGGAGTTCATCCAGTCTAACCATCCCTTACCTCCCCAAACACCTGTGTTTCAACTTCTGAGTAAAAATATGCTGTGCACTTTTCTTCAAAACTGTCGCAAATGTGGAATTAGACTGGAAAAAGGAGCAAAGCAAAAAATTCTCTAAGTGTCTGGGAAAGAGAGAGTACTAGAGTCCTCAGAAAGTAGAACTGAATGTATTTGATATGAAAATCATTTCAGAATTTCCTATCTAGAGAGCAGGGGCTTTCCTACAACAGCTGTTTGATAAAATCCCTTACTCAAGTGGAAGAGGGCTTTTTGGTTGAGCAGAGCTGGTCAACCACCTGCCTGATCAGAGGCTGTTTGAATACCTTATGGCCCTGGTAGAGCTTTCAGCAGAGCAGGAATTTGGACTTGACTTCTTTCTCCTCAAATCAGCTTTCCATTGGTGGTATCACAATCTGAAGGTGACAGCTCAGGACTGTCTACTGGTACTCCTAGTTCTGAACAGTTGCTTTACCATGTGGCTAAGAACTAGTAGCTGCTTTAGTGTACGTTTATATACATCTTACTGCTTCCATTTAAGATGATACCAAGAAACCTCTTAATAAGTCCAAGTGGCATTTTTGTACTGTGTGCTGCACTTATGTTTACTCATTTTTGCTGAAATTCAGAGTAAGCTTGTTTTTTCAGAACAGTCATATTTTCCATTAGCCAATGTGGCAAGCAAAATACACACAGGTCAAACCAAGCAAAAAGGCATAAGACTGGTCACTGATATCATTTGAGTGATCACTGAAATTGTACTGAAAACATCTCATTGTTGCCACACTTTGTATAACGAGAGGGCAGCTCTAAGTCGTCAAGGGCTCTCAGCGACATGTGGCAACACTATTCTTCCACCCTTTTCATATGCATTGCTCTGCTGCGACAGGGATGTCTGATTCACTTAAAGGAAAACTGAAATAGGGTGAGTCAACCTGCTCTGCTGCGCTGCTGTCTGCCAGCAGCAAATGCCAAGAGGTGAATTTTGCTACCTCCAAGTGAAAGGCCAAGACCACGCTACTTCTCCTATGAAAAAAACAGATGTGAGAGACATCTGGAAGTGAGACAGGGTATGAAGAGAGGATGTCAAGTTTGTTGGTTTTGCTGATGCCAAGGAAAGACAAGAAGCAGGACTGGCAATATGTGCTGTTAGGAAGGACCACTTTACGCCACAGCAATCAGTCTCCCTCCTCTCCCTCCAAGCCGCCCTTTGACAGCAGCCACTGGCTTGGCTGTCTGGGAGTTTGCCATAAAATAAGCAGCTGCTCTTTCAACACCTGCTGAACTAGGTGTGAAACCCATAGCTGCCGTAGGATGCTGCAGTGACTAAAGACACTGGTCTGTCCTTCCACGCTCATGGAAGAAAGATCTATGAAGGACTGCTGAAGACACATGGGGATCAACCTCTCTGTCTTTCACTCCCAGAGCTGAACGCTGGTGGCAGATTATTCTGGGGTAATGGGGTTGTATCCCTGCCTGCTCGCTCTGCTCTTCAGTGTCCCGTCCGGGCTGGCCGCTGTCAGACACAACTGGACTGACTTCTGTTCACACTCGGGACTTTCTGCTCCAGGATACAGTGCCTAAAGGTTACTTAAAATACAAAGCCGCCCACGCTTGCCCTTATTTATTACAGACGTGAGTGAGGGCTGAGAGGCAAAACGGCACAACTTGGCATGTTAAAATATTTACGTCAGTGACGACACAATATTGTCTGCTTAATTGAGAGAGACAATGAAACACTTGTTTGGATGCTTTGTTGCTTTTGCTGTGGGAGCCTTCCAAAGGCATGCTTGGCCCCTGCCAGGGCCGTTTCCTAGTTGTTAGTAGGCTGTAATGAAGACCACAGCAGCTAAAAGACCTTCAGGAGCAGTCAATGGCTGGTTTTCACTCAGGGCATGTCGTGCAGCGTTACAGAAGCACGAGGCATGGAGCAGTGACAACCTCCAACATGTTGACTGCTTTGTCCCTCCCTGAACCTGCAAGGAAGGATTTGAGGAAGGCAGCAGGCAAAAAGCTCTGACACGAGTACTACAAGCCTGCAATTACTGATGACAGTAACCTCAGACCTTTGTCTCGGCAATGAGCTGCACGAGGCTGTAGCCACGGGTGCAAAGCTCAGGCTGACTAGCACAGAGCAACGGGGCTCAACTTAAAGGTCTTGTGAGCTCAAGTCTAAGCGATGACTAGTTATCCAAAAGAGAAATATATTTTTAAAAGTGCATTCAGTGTTTTCACTATGGAACCTGATTTTTCAAACAGCGTGACTTTTAGATTGCTTCAGCCTGTTTGACTTCTACCATTCAAGTGTATGAAAGCAGAACATTTAGAGTACAGTGATGCATTACCTTAATACAGATTTAAAAAAAAAAGGTTTTGTTTTAACTTTTTCCCTTATGTTGAAGAGCCTGAAAACGGGGTGTGACCCTAGAATTCCCTCTCTCTTCTCTTTGCAGTCTTAAGAGATTGCACGAACATGGCTCCCATTCGTTTCCCGAAGCTGTAAACTGAACTCCACCAAGCAAGGAAATGTTGATTATTGAGTTGCACCTTTTCTCAAACACCAGGGCCAGTTTGGTCAGTAACAAAAGCAGAAGGAACAGGTGAAGAAGGGTAGAGTCTCACATATAGGGGAACGGCATAATTGCAGACTTGGGAGGAGGGTGGAATAGAGGAAAATGAGAAAGCTTGCAGTTATTGCAATTGCCTTTGGCTGAATCAGTTAACTTACGTTAGAGCTGAACTTCTATGTATTTCTTAATCTTTTGCATGGGACTTACACACATCTGTATAAATAATCTTGTGAAAGACTCCTCCATCTCAAGGATTAATCTTATTCTTTAGGGGCTTGAGGAGGTTTTTTTTGGATCGGGCCTTGATTACCAATGGCCGGAGATGGGTTTACATTAAATATAAATGTTTTCATTGCACTAGTTCATTTCATCTGATGTGGTGTGTTAGTTCTGACAGATTCTGGTCTAAGGTGCTTCATATAAAAATGCAAGGCAACCTAGGGGAGAGTTTTTGGAAAATCCTGCTTCTATTGAACCATCCCAGCTGAAGGCCTGGGACATCTGCGAGTCTGGAAACTTTATACCATATGTTTATTTTCATTCTAATGGAGAAACTATCATTTCTAGCATTTCACATATCTAATCCTTCCAAATCCTGCAGTAATGGGCTGTGGTAAACTGTGCTGATGAGTTGCACAGCCTAGTCATGCTGTGGTTTTGCCACTTTTTAAGAAGTGTTGCCTTAAGTGTCGTATCTTATTCCATTGTTTCCTGACAGACCATATTAAAGCTGGATGACTCAGATCACCACTACTCATCCATCTTTCCATCAGAGAAGGCACAAACCTGGGTCTTTCTCCTCTACCCTGCTGTTAAACCTGAGGCGTTTTAATCTCTTCTGCCTTTCATGGCAATAAAGTCTTTAACTAGTAGTGACCAGATCAGAGATTACCAACTGAAAACCAACTTTTACTTAAGTGCAGATAGAAGTTTGTGATATGACTGCTCTTACGTCTCGTGGTGTTGTATAAGGGTCAGCACTTCAGTCACAGCGGCTGATGGAGCAGTGCCTCCCAGCCTGCCCGGCCACGGAGCAGCCACCTTTAGTCTACCAGAAAAGCCAGACTTCCTCCTTCTTAATGCGGATTATACTCACTAGCGTACATTATCCAAAACATGGTTGCCTATGCTGTCTGCTTATTTCAGGTAGGCCTTTATTCTTGCACCATTCCCAAATAAGCAGGGCTCAGGTTTAGAGCAGCACAAATGCCAGATGAGGTACTGAAATGTCTCCATGCTATAAACCTTTGTGCTTTGTCAGTAGTAATTCAGGACGCTTTGGCCTTAAGACAAACCTTTGCTTCTTTATTACTTTTTATTTAAGTGTAGATAAGAGGTATGCTTGAACCTTAGCTCTAATTAATGTTTCAGCTTCTAATCAGTGTGCCCTGCAACTACGCTACTTTGATCAAGGACTCTTGTTTTAGAACTGGAATTTTAAAACCACTTGTACATTGTAAGTCAGATTTTTATCTTCAGTGCTCTTACAATCCGTCACTAATTTGTGCCAAAAAATGTATTAAATTTATTACATGTGTTATGATAAAAGAAAATCTGCTTGATTAACTAGAATCAGTCACTCAATCACTAATAACTCCTTCAATAGCATGTAGGTTATTTTTAAGATCACAGAGTTTAAGGAAACAACACACGCAATTATTCCTTCTATCAATCAATAGCTTGTAAACCTGCTGATTTACCACCACGCATGACAGATTAAACCAGTATCCATTTCCTTCAGGTTCCATGACAAACAAATCTGGCAGAAGCACAGGGGGAGCAGGCTCAGATTTGCACCTTCACTGAAAGAAAGGAAGAGGCAATTTCGCCCCTTCTCCACAGATGAAGTAGCCAACTGGCCAGTTACCACATTTTATGAGTCTGAAAAGGCAACGTGCTTCATCAGTTCTGCCTGTCTGAAAGGGTCTGCTCTCTTTTTCCTCTGAGACCATGAACTTCTTTATTTTTTAATGTTTATTCCAGACACCTTCCATCACAACCCATTTTGTCAAAAACTGTTCTCCCTACCATAGAAAACATACAGCTTCAGTTTTCCTCATGACTGACTGTGACCAAGCCACAGGAGAATATTTTTTGTGCAGGCATACCCATGAATTTTACTGTTCCCTCTGAAGTAGAACAGTATTTACTTAGCAGTGTTAGTGGTTGTCCTACTCATTACTGTTATTTAGTGTTGCATTTCAGCTGCCCTCCAATTCTTTTGCTTTTTCTATAGCATCCTTTTCTGGTCAGCAATTTCCATCAGCTTTCCAGCTGATAAAGAGCGATTCTGGTTACCTCCAAAGACAAAGCTAATGGGACACATTAGCGGCAGATCATAATCTTGCAAAACCACATGAACAACTACCATAGGCACCGCTTTTATAAACGTATTAACATCGCTATTGTCATTTATTCTTTATTAGTGCATACAGTAAAGGAAAACAATCTGACTTAGGCTCCCGGATTCTGCTCTGCCTCGTTTCACATATGCAGCTTTACAGAGTTGCACCAGTCTTGGCAGCATGTGACAGCTCAGGAAGCCGCACTTCAGGGAAGGAGCCGTTTACCTTAGTCCTGAGCATCTCACCTGGGTAGTGCAATGGTATCCAGTCCCTCAGCTGGGAATAATGATCCTGGGAGGAAGAGCTTGAGGTGTTGGGAGAGACAGGGCCATCTCCTGGAAAAATCTGAATGTAGCTGCAGCTGAATTACACAAGAGATCCAAACTGTGGGCTAAGTGCTCCAGTCCTAACCTATAATTTAAGATGTGGAGCCACTGTTTAGGAATCTTAGTCAGCTAAATACAGGAAGGAGAAACTAGGTACATTCCTGGGCTCAGAGCCTCCTTCGCCAGAGCTCGGCACTCACACGCAGATTCTTATGCAAGTTTCTAGAAGCCCAGTTGCTTATTTCCATTTGCCTGTTTTCCGGACAAACTGGCAAAGAGGACTGGCTTAAGATGTTAGGAACAGAGCATAGAAAACATGTGTACTGAAAGCATTACAGGAAAGCACAGGTTGAGTTTACAAAGCCAGAGGATATGAGCCACACAAGAGTACATTCTTAGAATTGTTTAATCTTGTAAAGGAGAAGCTGTACTGTACACCTCTTTCTTGGAAAATGCAACTGCCAGCACATCCCTCTCTCTTGTACGCAGGAAAAACTGGCTTTCATCCCCCGGAAGCATTGGCAGCCACCATCCAGGAAGCAAAACCCAGCAAAGTGATCTCTGCAAGAGCAGGTAGAGCTGAGAACGGAGGCAGGGAGCACAGCTGAGAGCCACAAGTTGCTATGCCAGCCCAGAGCTTTGCTCTACGTCACGCAGTGCGTTGCCTTAGAAAGTGGAGGATAGCAAATGCGCCCAGAGAAGATGGGGGGGAATGGTGATGCTTGCTGCCTCGTGTCACGCTGTGAATGAGCGTGGGCAAGGGGTGCCTTTCTCCTCTAGCCTGATGTCCTGTCAGTGGCCTGAAGCATGAGGTTTGATTGCCCGTACAACAGAAATTAGATTGCATAACTGCAGATTTAGCATTTCTAGAATTCCTGTGACATTGTTATTCTAGGATTTAGCCAAAGCTGTGTTCAGGAAAGCCTTATTATTGTAGCTGGCAGAGGCTGCTGGAGTTATTTTTACCATTTGATTGCAGAATCCTCAGTTTTAGGATCGCCGCAACTTTTCACTTAATGCAAATTCACTTAATGCAAGACTAAGCTAAAGGGTTGCCATGCCTCTCTGTCGGCAGCTAGAGGATTAAGGCAAAACAAGCAAATGATGTGCACACCCAGGTCCCATGCTTGCAGTGCCAGCAGGGTGGATTGGGACAGTTTCCTGAACAGCTGGAGGACACAATAGCCAGCCGGCCAGCCCTGGAAAGCATGGATCTAACTGGAAGGGTGGATGCTATCAAAATACCCTTCAGACAAGAAATGCGATCCCAGGGATGCGTGAGGTACAAGGGGAAGATAAAGCACCAGCTTGTGCAATAACAGAGGAGAAAGAAAAAGTTGCCAGTAGTGCTTCTACTTCTTTCCCTAGAGTTAAAAGGGAGAGGTTTCTGGTGCCAGTTCGAAGAAGTGTTTGCAAAGGCAGATGTAAAACTTGGGGAATTCCACCACCTAGTTAGCTGAACCAACAAAAGTTGGCTTTGATGAAGCCTAGAGAGGCATTTTCTGCACAGTGTTTTCAAGTTTTGACAAATGTGACCTCCTAGGTCAACCGAAGACACAACACAGATGTTAGCTTCCCGCATGAGCTGTAAGAACATGCTTACGCTGTTCTTCAGAGAACTACAGGGAATCAGGGACACATGGGAGTGCACAGCCATATTTAACGTATGGAGTCAGTCAGGGAGGTTTTAGAAAATGGAGGTTTGTCTGGAAAATTGGGTTCTAAATGTTCTTGCCAAAAAGCATATCTTTCAGTTGTGTTAATTCAGATTACTCACTTGTAGGGTTTCAGTTTTTCCCCTCTGCAACAATGCCAGTGATTCCCTGTCTGTAAAACAATCTTCATAACTTTTATTTACATAGGAGGGCTTTCCCTGAGGCTCTTGAGCAGGGTTAAAAATCCAGTATGTTTAAAAAACCAGAGGGAAAGAGAAAAAATTAATTTTTTTTGTGTCAATATTTGGCCTTGATATTATTGCATTGGTAACAGCTAGCTTTGTGGTTTTTGGAAGAGGGGTATATTGAAACAGCTAGTGCTTGTCACTGCAGTATGCAGCTATGGAATGGAAAAGGTCTGCTTTCTGTTTGGTTACTTTTCAAACAAGAATCCCTATGACTGGTTTTGGGTAGTACTACTGTCCTAAAAGCTTATCTGGATTAACCTTCTATTAGTTTTGGATCTGGGCTGATTAAACGCAATTCTACACTATGTCATAGCCAGACATGTAGCTCGGTGGGTGATGCTGGCATCTGATATCCACCATCCGAAAGCCGTACCAACTCCCAGACAAAGTTGTCATCTCTGAAATGTCACCTTGCTCTGGGAACATTTTCCTCTGGAGCGCTCTTGCGGTGTCCAAGTCCACATGTGTCAGTACCATGTCTGGGAGCCAAGTGAAGTGGTGCCAGGTTGGCTGTAAGAGCCAGCCCCTCTGCTTGGATTAGGCAGGCATCGCTGCGCTGGGGCCAGGCGATTATCTGGCTGTCAACGGTTTCATTTGTAGAAGTCCTCTGCTCTGCGAGTGGATACGTCTCTTCGTCTTGGAGTAGTCTGAAAATGTCTTCACATAGCAGTTGAGATGTCAGCGTAGGTTAGAGGTACTATCTTTTTAAGAAGAGTTTTTTTGAAGGCTTATAGTTTAAGGCATGCTCAGATTTTTTTTTGGGGGGTGGGTGTATTCTGAGCATAATCTACTCCTCAGAGCAAACCAAAAAATCCACCATTTTCCAGGACTAGCAATTTTGTGCCCATTTGGCTCAGAAGTCCTCCATAGGTTGATGAACTTTGTAGCTAGAAAGTTAGTCTTTCATTCACCCTAATTTACAGGGCTGGGCCCATCCTCATCAGGAATTTTACATGTTGACGATTTCAGTAAATGCAGCTTTTAATCTGCCACACATGATCAGACGTTAATTGTGTTCATAGCTGGAAACGCCACGGAAGCCGTTGGCATGGCTCTTCTAAGTAGAGATTAGTCATACTATCAATTTGTTTTCTATTAAGCTTCAGGATTCATAGAAATGAAGAACCACAGAGATTTCAGCAGAGAAGATACATGGAGGTAAACAAGCATTTCTGCAAATTCAACAGTGTCTTAGAGCCATGGATTTTGTGCAAATCAAAGTCATAAGAACAAAGCTTGTGTCCCCAAGAAAGCTGCATGCAAGAATCTTTCCTCCAGCTTGACAGAGAGTGATGAGTCATTTTGTCAAATCCAACTTTAAAATACGACTTTAATGGTTAAAGAACAGTTCTTACACAAAAGCTAGGAGTTTTTGAGCCTGCCACAATTCAGAAAAAAGCAGCTACCTTTTCTGATTACCTGTTTTTTCTAATTAGATGACTTAATTTTCCTTTCTTAATGAGATAAAGACGCAATCTTGCATTTATGCAAGCCAAAAATGTTCCATTGTATAACATGAGATTACAGGGAGCTAGCAGGAATTGAGGCATCAAGAGGTGATTGCAGGCATGGGAGGAGAGGTCATGGCTGAACACCAAGAAGACAAAGTGTTGTGAAGGCACAGAAATGTAGGAAGACTGTTCCAGTAGCAAAACAGAAAGGTTGTATGGCAGAGGAGAAAAGGCGAAGGTAAGATAAACGAACCCTGCTTTTTGTAGGTGGTAAATATGCCATTAAAGCATATATGAAAGGGAACTTCAAAATGCGTCATGCAACATTAAGTTTTTAGCAAAAGTCATTGATGAAAGCAGAATTTGTCCAAGACCCTTTAGGTTTAGTACATTCTTCTACTCTGTACTGCCACCCATTTGCTATGAGAAGTCCGATCTGTAAAAGCAGTATCTTAAGTGTTCATCTGTTCATCACTCATCCTCTGGTGTATTTGCCATCTCTGTAGCAAACAGCAGGGATGGATTAAGACAATAATACAGCCCAGAGCCGCTGCAGTTTCTTGAATCCTCACACAGACTCCTTCTCCTGTATCTTGTTACTCACGGTGCTTTTGATTGTGTTTCCAGCGAGCAGCCGTGCTCCTGCCTGAGAGCCATGTTGTTTTGCTGCCTGCTAAAAGCTGACGCCTGGTACTGCGCCTCCTCGAGGCATCTGGGGACCAAATACCAAGAAATCCTGCCTTTATCCATCTTGGCAACTGGGTCTTGTCAGTAACTGTGACTTAGTTGAGGAATAAGGAGTAAAATCTGAGAGATTAAGCAATGAGAGCTTCACTTAACACGAGGATACCAGCCACTGAAGGAAAGGTGTCCCCATCTGCGGTCTGTGCAAGCCGAATCGTCTGAATATGGTTTAGTCCTCCAAGTGTGAAACTGAGTCACGACTTTGTCAGTGAGTGATCTGCTACAGATATATGGTTTTGGGATAAATATTGTTCAGCGTGAAGGCTAGGCTAAGAGTTTACTAATAGGCAAAGAGCCCTCCAGGACGCATAGCAGATCAGGCACAGTTCTCCTCCTGGGCTGCAGTAACGTGTCTCCCTCCCTTCTGCCCTTGCCCCAGGTGTACAGATCTGGGTTTGGGAATATGGTTTTAGGATATCCTCAGAGACCAAGGGAACATAAGGCCACCCTCTGAAACATCTCAGAAATCCCAACCCTGAAAGGCCGCGTGTTGCTATGTGTCGGCCAGCCGTGGCACCGCTGCTCCAAAGCGCTCCCTGAAGACAAGAAGAATTAGTACTGCATGAGGTAATACTGCTGCTTAAAAAGCAAATGGCTTGAGAAAGCCAGTGGTGGTTACCGAAAGGGACTGTAAAGGGGCACAATGTCCTTTGGAAATGCTGGTCAGGGGATATGGCCCACCAACTTTAAAAAAACAATTTCGTTTTGGGAACATTCTTCACTTCTTAAGTTCAGGGCATAAATATGAGGCTCTGTAGCCAAACATCCCAGCTGACTCTCCACACCTCTGTTCAAATCAGGTTCCCAATAGCCTTTTTAGGGAAGAAAAAGGCCAAATATCTCCCTGGCTTACATCTGTGGTGATTTTATGTAGGTTCATAAGTAAGATCACTTCATTACAGAGCTAACCTCAGACTCAGTACGTGCTGAGTTCAGACACATACTCATGTGTAATTGTTCACATTAAAAGGACTGTGGTATTTTCTTTATGTATTTATTTTAATAGCGTGTGGTGGGAAGTAAGCTAAGGTTGTAAGGACACCTGCATGTTAGGGCAGTTCCTGCTCTTGCCACTGCCTCTCTTATCTCTTTCAAGA